TAGGCAGGAAAGTCCCAGAGTAGGAGACAGTTTCAGTGTGCAGGTTCCTTTGCCAGATGGTATTTGATACGAATATTGATGTTAATGGCGTTTGGATAATGACACTGTCTGTAGCAGGGGCTTTATTACTGTTATGAACAGCACCATCCTAGGGGGAACCATTCCATTTAGTTACCTTTGTGTGTGTGTGTGTGTGTGTGTGTGTGTGTGTGTGTGTGTTGCAAATGTTTAATAGACAATTATCAGGAGACGGTGTTCTAAGGGAGTTTGGGTTATTTCTGGATTCTCAGGCAGTTCTTGAAATCAGCCCACACCTTGGAGCTGGAAGGAGACTGCTTGAGGTTGCTGACTTCTTTCATGTGTAGACTGGTCACCGTAGCTTTTCCTGTGTGCCCCCCACATTCCCACTCTTGGAGGGTCTGCTTTGTGGCAACCTCTCTTCATAACCAGATACATCAAAACTCTACCTTTTACACTTCCTGGGGGAGTCTGAGCTTCTTCCTATTAAAAATGAATAATAAAATCCTTCACTTTCTTCCTAATGGGGTTAGTAGGAGGTGTTTAGCTTTTTATAGCTACCTCAATGATGGAAAAAGGCAGATGAAGCCATCGCAAAATTAAGGAAGAGGTCATCATCAGAAGACCAGGGACTGAAATCTTTTAAAAGCATTTCTGGTCTTAATTCAAAGCGCCTCTCCGGAGAGCTTCAGCTAGCAGAGCCTGTGGGTTGCCTCTGCTGGAACCAAAGCTTCAGCAAGGTGGGGACCATATGGCAGGCTCTTCTTCCAGTCGTGTGGAAGGGACCCGTCCCTTCAGAGCAGATATGACACTTTCAAGATGGATAATCTACCAGAGAGGTAGGCCTGCTTTCAGACATCAGGCAAAAAGCCTTCTGCCCTTATGAGAAATGAGTGAACGAATGTCTGGGACTCAGGTGTTTTTGTAGCCTTGTCAAATGGCTTCAGAGACCAAGGTGGCGGTTGTTGTGGACCAAATGCTCCTGGGATCTTAGATCTCAGGCAAAATGGGAAATGAGGAGGCTCTTCTGGAAAGAGCAAACAAATGGATTGTTGTGTGTGCTCCTGGCTTGGACAGCACAGCTCTTAATCTGAATACAAAACAGAGAAAATGCTCTTTTGCTCCTTTCAGACTAATGATTTTGTCCTTTTTCCCTCTCCTCCTCGTTTTATTTCTTCATCTATAACATCTGCAAGAGGGCAGCCAGACTAATAAAACTGTGCTAAGCTCGACTAATGCCAGCCATTGATCTGAGGGTGGGACCCAATTAATCAATGGGGTTTTAGCAGTGTTCATGTCCCTGAGGGACATGAGGCCCAAAGTCAGTTCTTGTCCCTACAGAGGAGAGGAGTATGAGAAGTGAGGGAGTGAATCTCTGTCTGCAGGTTCTGGGCAGAGAAGAATGGCAGGGTGGCTGTCCCCTAGGAACTCTCTGTGGCAGTGGCAGAGAATCCTCTTGAGGTGCCAGAGGGTCTTGCTTTGGGATGTTCACTTGCTCTGGAATATCATTGCAGAAACTGCTAGTTTCCAGGGTGGGTTTGCAAAGCAGGAAACCCCTTACCTGACATGCCAGGTAACTCATGGAACTAGACGCCTGGGAAATCATCTCCCTTATCCCCTCTGACTGTTCAGTGAAGGATCACTGAGGCCCTGCTAGGGTGAGGTTTAGATTTTTATAGCCAAAGATCATGTAGTAAATTAGCAATGCTGTAGAATGGAGGCTCTTGCCCTTCCCTTTACTTGTAAGTCTGAGTCAGGGTCAGAAACTGCTGGAGCCATCAGAAGGTTGACACAAGCAATTCTAGAGAATTCAGACAGAGGACGGATACCAGCCGAAGAGTCTGATTGGAGAGGATTATAATCCATTTTAAAATAGCTTGGATAGTCTTTTTTCCCCTTTCCCTTTAGCATGTTTTTTGACACCTTTAGAGAAAAGTTTGTGATAGCATAGGTACAATTTGACAAATAATTTGTAGGCACATACCTTTGTCATCACCTGGCTCAAAAATTGAACATTACCAGCTCCACAAAACCTCCAATGTGAGATAAGCCTCTCTCTCCCAATTTGACTCCTTCTTCCTGGAAGGTAGGAATCTAATCCTAGCTCTCAAGGCAAGTGCGCTACCACTATGCCACGCCCCCAGCCATGGTGATTTCTTTGTTCTCTTCCGAATTGAGCACCCAAATACCTTATTGCTGCTTAATTTAAAACTTTATATTTAGAATCACATTATATGTGCATGCTTTATTGTGTGTCTATGTTTCTTTGATCCAACATTGTCCAATCTATTCATGCAATAGCAGGTATAATACCTTTTTTTTTTGGTTGTTGGTCATGTGGCTTGAACTCAGGGCCCAGGCACTGTCCCTGAGCTCTTTTTGTTCAAGGCTAGTGTTCCACCACTTTGAGCCACAGCACCACTTCTGGTTTTCTGGTAGTTAATGGAGATAAAAATCTCATGGACTTTCCTACCTGGGCTGGCTTTGAACCATGATCCTCTCAGATCTCAGCCTCCTGAGTAGCTAGGATTACAGGCATGAACCACTGGCACCCAGTACATAAGCAGCAGCATGCTGCTGCTGCTTCTTCTTCTGAACTGAAGCCTGAAATAAAAATAAACCATTCCTTTTTCCCTCCTCCTCCTTCTCCTCCCCCTCCTCCCCCTGCTTCTCCTCCTCTTCATCTCTTCCTCTTCCTCCTCCTCCTCCTTCTCCTTGTTGTCTTTTCTTTTTTGGTACTAGAGATTAAACCCAGGATATTGTGTTTGGTAGGTAAGTGCTTTGCCACTGAGCTACATTCCAGCCCTTACATAAACTTATTTTTAAGAAATCTATTAGAGTCATATCCTGTGAAATAAAGTATGATCCTTGAGATAGTTCAATCTAGAATAGGAATATGAAAACAGAGATGTCCCAAAGAGATTTTATTTAAAAATCTTTGGTCTTGGTGCTTTGACCAAATTGCCGCCTTCTTCTTCTTCTTCCTCTTCTTCTTCCTCTTCTTCTTCCTCTTCCTCTTCCTCTTCCTCTTCTTCTTCTTCTTCTTCTTCTTCTTCTTCTTCTTCTTCTTCTTCTTCTTCTTCTTCTTCCTCTTCTTCTTCTTCCTCTTCTTCTTCTTCCTCTTCCTCTTCTTCCTCTTCCTCTTCTTCCTCTTCCTCTTCTTCCTCTTCCTCTTCTTCTTCTTCCTCTTCTTCTTCTTCTTCTTCTTCTTCCTCTTCTTCTTCTTCCTCTTCTTCTTCTTCTTCTTCTTCTTCCTCTTCTTCTTCTTCCTCTTCTTCTTCTTCCTCTTCTTCTTCTTCCTCTTCCTCTTCTTCCTCTTCCTCTTCTTCCTCTTCCTCTTCTTCCTCTTCCTCTTCTTCTTCTTCCTCTTCTTCTTCTTCTTCTTCTTCTTCCTCTTCTTCTTCTTCTTCTTCTTCTTCTTCTTCTTCTTCTTCTTCTTCTTCTTCTTCTTCTTCTTCTTCTTCTTCTTCTTCTTCTTCTTCTTCCTCTTCCTCTTCTTCCTCTTCCTCTTCTTCCTCTTCCTCTTCTTCCTCTTCCTCTTCCTCTTCCTCTTCTTCTTCTTCTTCTTCTTCTTCTTCTTCTTCTTCTTCTTCTTCTTCTTCTTCTTCTTCTTCTTCTTCTTCTTCTTCTTCTGATTCAGGTATCTGATTTTCTAGAAGACACATGCTGATTTCAGGGATGCTGGGTTCAGTATTTTCATACTGGAGGACAGGGAGAGGGAAAACAAGAATTCTTTGCTTTTGCAATGGAGGCCTGAGCTAGACATTGTGTTCCCTGGGGGCAGGTGTTTCATCTTCCTGATAATCCTGAATCCCAGTATCCAGTGAGTTCATAGGAGGTAAACAAGTTTGTCCAATGAACAAAGGAATAAAAGTTATTCAGACAGGGTGCTGGTGCCTCATGCCTATAATCTTAAGCTATTCAGGAGGCTAAAATCTGAGAATTGAGGTTCAATGCCAGCCCAGGCAGAAAAATCCAAGAGACTCATACCCAAATCACCACCACCACCACCAACAAAAAAGTAGAACTGTGGCTCAGGTAGCTTAGAGTTCCAGCCTCAAGCAGAAAAAGCTGAATGAGAGTTTGAGGACCCCAAGTCAAACCTCAGTACTGGCACAAAGACAATCAAATAAGGTTACTCAGCACAGGCCTCTGTAAGATGCCCAAATTTATAGTTAATTTCCAATAGTGTAGTTAATAGTATAATATCCAATAGTATAGTTCATTTCTCCAACAGTATAGTTTTCCAGTGGTTTGATAGAGGGTTTCCAAATGCCAAAACTCATCTTGTTGGGGCAGATATCTTGATCATCCTTAGTACATTAATTTCCTACATTCAAAAGGACCTTAGATAGGTATGTAGTAACCAGATACTCACTATTTCCCCCTACCTCTTAACAATGGAGTGTGGGCAAAAGAAACTCTTATTAAAACATGTAATGCCTGCAGTGTTGCTTCTGCAGGGAGTTGTGGAGAGGTGGTGGGGTATGGCTGCCTCCGGGACAGCTTCTGCCTGCTGAAGCCTCTCCATGTGCCTCTGAGTCAGGTGCTAGCGTCTCTTGAGGACCTTGTGCTGAATGGGAGGCAGAAGTGGGAAGTGAGACCATCTCTGTTGTTCCGGTCAGCTGGGCAGGCTGGAAGGCAGTCAGCTGGACTCTTGTTTTCTTGGTGACTTTTACCTTACCCAGTGGGTTAGGAAGCTGTCTAATGATAGGAGCCACAGAGCCAGGTTGCAGGCTGCTTGATAATTTTTAAGTTGTAAAAATTCATTAATAAGTAACAATCAATGTATTTATAGCTCACCACAAAGAAATGCCTTAACAGAAGTTAGCACCATCCAAGCTTGCAGAGAAAGTTAGAGACAACCCTCCCAGGGTGGGGCAGAGGCGAGTCCCCTAGAATTGTTCTAGAAATCCATCCTGGAAGTTACAGACCGATGTATATTTTTCTCCTTCAAGACGCTGGCTATCATTTTTTCTTAAAAAAAAAAAAAAAGGATCACGAATTTGCATGTCATCCTTGTGCAGGGGCCGTGTGAATCTTCTCTGTAACCGTTCCAATTTTAGTATATGTGCTGCTGAAGTGAGCACATGGCTGTAATTTTTAAGTATGAATGGATGTGTAGAATTCTGAGGGGATTGGAGGCGTGGCTCAGCTGGTAGAGTGCTAGCCAATGAAGGAAAGTAGAAGGTCCTGAGTTCGAGTTCCTGTCTTGGACCGAAGGAAGGAAGGAAGGAAGGAAGGAAGGAAGGAAGGAAGGAAGGAAGGAAGGAAGGAAGGAAAGAAAGAAAGAAAGAAGAAAAAGAAAGAATTGCTTCTAAAGTCAGCCTTTCCTCTCAGTGTGAATCCTAGGACTGCTTCAAAGAAAGAAAGAAAGAAAAAGAAAGAAAGAAGAAAGAGAAAGAATTGCTTCTAAAGTCAGCCTTTCCTGACTGCTTCAGCTACCACCTTGTGGAGCTAAGGTCTTGGGGAGGTCGCGAGGGGCGTTGGGTGAAGGAACGAAGCTGAGGTGTCTGTGCACTGGAATATTGAAGGCAAAGGGCCGGTCCTCTTCTGACCCCATCCAGGCCTCAGAGGCCCAATTCCCAGGTCTCCTCCCAAGGCTACAGCTGTCTGCAGCCCGTCCTGCGCCTCAAGCCAAGCGGGAAAAGCCCTAGCAGAGCTCGGGAAGGCGCCGCGGGGAGGCCTGCCTTCCTGAAAAGCCACACTTGGAATTGTCTTCAAAAGCTGCCACGCAGCCCCCGGAGTTTGAGCAGGAATAAATCATTAGCATTTTATTTACAATTCTGGGTTTACAATTCCTAGAAAAGGATCCTGCTGTTCAGTGAGGGCTTTCCCTGGCGCCTCCTGCGCGCTCCGGGGGTCCGCGGTTCGGGGCCACCTTCGCGCTTTCCTGCCCAGGGGTGGGCCAGGGTAGCAAGTTGCTCCTGGGGCTCGCGGGTCCCTACGACCCGGACTCATAGCCCCTTGGACTTTTGCCCACGAGATGGGGGGAATTGATGCCAAGAGAGCTGGGCGATGGGGTGGCGATGAGGTGTGGAAGTTGGAGTCCCGGCTCCGGGTCCCCAGCGGAGAAGCCGCGGATCTCCACCCCGCCCCCCCCACCCCCCAAGCCCCTGCCTCGGCCCGGCTGTCCCGCCGGGCTCGGTCCTGCCGCACCGCCCGCCACGCCCACTAGATGGCAGCCTTGGTCTCCGCGGCGCAGGGCGGCGGCTGCGCTCCGCGGGCCTGGCCCGAGCCCGCTGCGGGCTCTCCGCGGGAGGGAGGCCCCGCGTGGCACCCCAGCCCAGACTAGGGGGTGGGGGGCATCTAAGCACCACGAGAGGAGTGGGGGGGCGGGCGGCTGGAAGCATCGCGAGGTTCCCTGCTGGAATGGGGCGAGGCTTCTCCTGGGCTCTCCCGGCACAGGGTTCGAGGGCGCAGGGATGCTGCTAGGCCCTCCTCCCTCCAGCCCGGCCTGGACGTTGCTGGGTGTGTGTGGAGGGGAGAGGGGTGGAGGCCGCGATGGGGGAGGATGGGTGGAATGGGAGGCGGGATGCTGCCTGGCAGCAGCAGTTTGATCTCTTTAGAAACACAAACTCACCGTCAAGACGCCCCTCCTCTTCTCTGTGGGGTCCAGAATGGGAGCTGCGTGGTAATCGTGGGTGAGGCTCTGCCCGCCCCTGTGCCCTGGAGATGCCTCGCGCCCAGGCCGGACTCACAGTGGCCCACGGAGTCAGCTTTGCCCAGCAGAAGCACCTTGGGGCAGAAGCAGAGATGGGCATGTCTCCGAGGCTCGTGCGCCCCAGGACCTGTGTGTAACCTCTCCAGAGAGAGGTGGTGTATAGTGGAGGTAGGGGTGAAGGTGACCCTCACCTTGTCTATAGCGGAAGGGAGGGGAACTGGAGGATTGGGGTCAGTCCTCTTGTCTCTGGTCTGTGTAAATGTATGGATTTGATTTTATTAGTTTCATTTTTTTTTTTAGGCTCAAAAATCTTAGGGTCTCTACTTCAAGGGTCTTATGGTATCTGAGCTCTGCCTTCTGTGCAGGAGAGCCCCTCCATCTCCTTTCTTCAGCCCAGCTCCTTTTCAGGAGGTGACTCTGTTATCTAGAAGAAAGAGGGCTCAGCCTGAACCTGGACATGTGTTACTTTGTCTTGGATAGCGACAGACAGGAGCTGTGCTTCAGGTTCTGAGAAACTGGGCGCTGTCCAGGCCTAGAGAGGAAAGTTCTTTGCCAAGGAACTCTAGGCATCTGTTTTCCCGTTCAGGATTCTGGTTCAGATGTTCCTGGCTGGAGCTGGTGGTTCACTCCTGTCATCCTCGCTGCTCAGGAGACAAAGATCTGAAGATGGCCTCTCCAGAAAAGGGCATGAGATTTTTTTTTATCTGCAATTAATCACCAGAAAACTGGAAGTGGCACTGTGGCTTAAAGTGGTGAAGTTCTAGCCTGGACAGTGCCCAGGTCCTGAGTTCAAGCCCCACGGCCAACAGAAAACAAAACAAAACACTTTCCTACTTTAGATCTCAAGGTCCTTGCAAGATGCTGCACATCAGAGTAATTTTCAGAAACACTCGTGTGTGTGTGTGAGTGTATGTGTGTGAGTGTGTGTGAGAGAGTGTGTGTGTCTGTGTGTATGAGTGTGTCTGTGTGAGTGTGTGTGTGTGTGAGTGTGTGTCTGTGAGAGTGTGAGAGTGTGTGTGTGTGTGTGTGTGTGTAGAGGGACTGTTAAGCCCTAGGAGTGGAGTTGGGACACCCAGCAGGCATTGTTCTCCCTGGAAGGCCTCCAGGTCATGCCTCCCCACCGTGGGCTACACAGGTCAGGGCAGAGGAGGCCCCTTGGGAAGTGGTGGTTGCCACGGGCCCCCATCTTCTCAGTCACCCGGCCCAGAGAAGGTTGCAGAATTGCTATCCAGCACATGCCCCTCTGTTAAGATCACAATTTCTATGACAGAAGCACTCTCTAATGGAGCCTGTCAACTCGGTTTAGGCTGCAATGGCTCAGAGCACAGGGCTCAGAGCCGGGGAATGTGGGTTCCCGGATGCCTTGCTTTGCCCCCTGCAGGGAGGCTGCAGAAGGCCAAGGGGGCTTGGACCTGACACCTTTCAGGCCCTGGCAGGTGGCCAGGTCAGCCCTTCAGGTTCCCCTGCAGATGGAGGGGGATGAGGGATCTTGGGGGATGGGGGCAGAGGAGGGGTGGGAGGGGACATACAGTCTAGAGCCAGCTTTGAGGGCAGAGCATCCTTCCTGCTCCCTGCCAAGGCAGGGGTCCCCTTTTTGAAAGCCATCTTCATTGGTCTCTCACAGAGGCTGTTTGGGAAAATGGAAAAACTTGTGTCAATCCTGCAACCCGGTAGCTGAGCCCTTTGGCATGCATTCTGTTCCTCGTTCTGCAGCCAGCGCCTGGGCTCCTCAGAGCCTGCAGGGGAGGGGAGAGGGGAGGAGGTGACCGAGTTCACATCCCACCCCTGCCTCTCCAGGAGTGATGGATGGCTGTCTGCTCAGCTCCCTCTGTGTGGAGCGGGGCTCAGCATCCCACACCGGCTGGTGGCTTGTGCAAACAACCATTGTGGAAATGCTGTGGGAACGTGGGCCCTGGGTCAGTTAACTTGGCCAGTTATTTCGTATTAATGGGGCCATATTTTTCCATTACACACACACACACACACACACACACACACACACACACACACACATACACACACACACACCTATTGCCCCCATTGCTTGAGTCTTTTGCAACAAACCCAATGTGTTTTCCTGGATGTCCAAGGCTCAAAGGTAAATCAGACGTGCTGGAGGCTTGGGTTTTTTTTCCCTCCTCTTCTTCCTCCTCCTCTTCCACCTCCTCCTCTTCCTCCTCCTCCTCCTCCTCCTCCTTCTCCCCTCCTCTTCTTCCTCTTCCTCCTCTTCTTCCTCCTCTTCCTTCTCTTCCTCCTCCTCCTTCTCTTCCACCACCTCCTCTTCCTTCTCCTCCTCCTCCTCCCCTCCTCTTCTTCCTCTTCCTCCTCTTCTTCCTTCTCTTCCTCCTCCTCCTTCTCTTCTTCCTCCTCCTTCTCTTCCTCCTCCTCCTCCTCCTCCTCCTCCTGCTTGTGGGTTAGGGAACAAATCATCCCTGAGACAGAGATCAGAAGGTAGGTATTAGGCCATCTTTTCTTTTAAAGGCAGTGAATTTGAAAACTCCATTAATTGTGAGTTCTAGTTAATCAGTTAATTACAGGAATTAGATGCTATTTTGTCTTTTTCTCTCTCGACTCCAAAATGTTCTTTGTAAGCTTTCCATAGCTGGAAATTGAAAAATTGAAACCCAAGGGCAGGGAACGGGGTGAGGGAGAGGGACTTGGGAGAAGCAACACCTCTTTGTGGAAGGGATCTTTATTCTGCAGTTTGCTTTATGCCAGGGGACCTTAAGTCTAGCTCAGGATGACAAGACTAGCTTTGGTTCCAGAGCAGGACTTGTAGAAGCCACTGATTGTAGAACCCAGACTTCTTAAAAAAATGACCCAACCACCATAACCATATGAAAACAATAACATCTGGCTGTTTACATTTCTTGAGCACCTACTATGTGCTAGATGCTCTATATTTTATGCCCATTGCCTTACTTCATCTGCAATGCAGTCCTATAAAACAGGTAGTCTTGTCACTCTCATTTTACACAGTGGGGGTGTGGCACAGCTGGAGGGGCAGAGGCACAATTCAGCCTAAATCCTTCTGATTTCAAAGGCCTAGGTTTTAGCACTCTGCTGGATTGGGACAGGAACCTGTCATCTTGTTGCAAAAACATATTTGCCTGTTTGGAAGCACACTTTAATATTATGGTGCCATTTGGAGGCTTACATTTAGGGCATCTCATTCTCCCTCAGCTTGTTCCACTAAGGCTGGGGCTCTATCTACTACTTGAGCCATACCTCTACTTCTGACTTTTTGCTGCTTAATTAGATAAGAGTCTCAGATTTGGGGTTGACTTCAAACCATGAGCCACCTGTGCCCAATGGTGCACAGGTTTGTTTGTTTTGTCTCAGTTCAGGACTTAGTCCTTGCCAGAGAAGCACTCTCTACTTCATGACTCATAGTTCTTGTGGGGTAGCTTTGTAATGAGTGGACGT